TTTGAAAAATATTTTTGTTTGTTATATTTTTTCTAATTTCGTTGAAAAGTCAGTTTGAACTAAATATAGTGCCTTCAATACAGACTTCCAAGAAACCAAGTCTCTTAATAATAAAAAGATATTTCATACTCAAAAGAAAGGAATATCATATGAAATTAGATATCAATTACTTCTTATTATAAAAAGAAATAAACTGCAATAAAAAATGCTTTTACAAAAGAATAGTATTGAAATTTAACAATTAAAAATAAAAATATAATTAATTAATTCATTTATTCTACAGCTGGTTTATGATTTTGTTTTAATATAAACACAGCAAGTGAATTTTTTAATAAAACTTTCACAAATTAACAAAACTCCAGAAAAATATGTGAACTTACAAGTCAAGTACGGTTTTGGGTCAGTTGGTTAAGGACACGCTGATTCTGAGCTTCAAATTTGGCAGGGCACGAGTTCAATTCCTGGCACTTACAATCTCAAAAAAAAAATTATTTACAAATAATTAATTACAAGAATTATTTCTAAGACCACTGATGATGGGTATTTAGCAATACACGAAACAGCTGTATAGTCAGCCAAAAATTCAGTTAATTAAAATAATATAAAATGAGTTTTTGTTCTTGTAGTTCACTATTTTGCGAAACTTCTCTATTAAATACCACAGTTTCTGTTTAAGTAAAAAATAATCACTTCTGTCATATTGACATTAAAATAAAACTTTTTATTATAAAAAGATTATAGAGTTTTAAATAGTCTTGTTAAAGTTTCATATACACAGAGATATTATAAGTAATGAAAAGTGAATGTATATAACATAATGATTAAAATATACAGAGGTTATCAACGTTTTCGAAAATAGAAATAAAAACTTTTCGCTTCATTTTAAGCAACATTATAATAGAGAAAGAATTCAATTTACGTTTTCGGTTAAATTGCATAACATACCTTCATCCCAGTAATCCTGTTCAGAAGCACTGCCCATTGCGCTGCCGAAGAAATGTTGCTGTGTTGGCGGTGCGTTAAGGGGATATTTAGCAGCCTCGCGATGGTGTAACTCATCCACAGCTGCTTGCAAAGAGTATGGAGAACGTTGAGCCCATGAACCATTTGCCAACCATATTAGAAGCGACAGCCAACAAAATGTGCTCTTCATTGTCGGCCTTATAATCGTATCTTCCTTTTAAACTGAAATTGTGCTTTTAAAAAATAATTACAATCACTTAAAATGCCGCTGGAAATAAAAACATCTTTTTTATTTATGACAAATTGTTAGAAGCACTTGTTACTGATTTGTACAGTCCAAGAATTATTATGTTGAAATATTTTTATGCGAATTTTGAGTACATCTCTTGAAACGAACCATTATTGACGGAAAGCCAATTCAATTACATGACATAAATTTATTATCCTAGTACAATATCATTCAAATTTTACAGTGTGAAATAAAAATTATTTGATCTTTTTATTTCTACTTATTAATATGTAATTTCAATTTGATGTTAAAGTTAATAATTAGTCAACATTCAAGAATTAAGAAATCAATAAAATCGATAAATTATAAAGAAACAAATCTTAATTATAGGCCAAGGTACTTCAACTATGGCACATTGAGTTTCATGTTATTTTACATCATTTGTATGCTCCAAATATGCTCAAGGAACAAGCTGCTCTATGGTGTGAACCCAAAATGGAAGCATGTGAGGGAATACGTGAATAAAGTTTATGACTTTTTCCAGAATAAAAAGATGTAGATGATTGCCTGTTGGTCTACATACGCACGTAGTTTACCAGCTAAGGAATTTGTTCTGTCAATAAAAAATGTTATGCAAATGAAGCTGTTATGAATTTCTTTAATAAATTCAAAAAATTCTTGCTCCTTTCCCATCCCAACAAATTAACGATGTAGATAGGTTTTTGATTGTTCGCGTGACATTCCCTCAATGAAAAAAACAGATTAGGACGTTAACACAGACATTCCTTAACACTTCGTTCTTTATTAAATTTTTTGGGAATGTACGATTGGAATTTCATTATTTGACGAATGAAGGTGAATTTAATTAAGTTTTTGCATCTCTCAGATATTTTAATTTTATTAATACAAAAATAATTTCATAAATAGTGTGCAAGAAGTGGGTGAACGATGTGGCCTTGTTAAAGATTATATATTTCTGTATGTAACGTGGGTTTTAAAGTAAGTCCACTGTATAGATTTTTGAAAGAAGTCCTTATTTTGACAATTACATATGTCGGAACGGTATACCCTTTACTGATATATGATTAAAATTGTATGTTTACGTTTTTATATTCATGCGTTTTAATGATTGTGTATTTTTAAATTAAATTTGATATATTAATCGAAATATTTTGATAAAGGATTTACTAAATTTAAAACAAAACTATTATCTTTTGATATAGGGCCCCACCTACTTCTAGTCCTAGGACCAGCATAGGGCCGTACCTTTTTTGATACGCATTTTTAAACAAATAGATGTATTACCTCCGTTCTATTCGTTTAAATGCCCTAAATTATTGACCTCATATATGTGTAGGATATACTTTAGCAACATATGTAATTGCCAATACATAGTTTCCCTATAAGTACTTATTTTTAAAAAGTACTCTTTACTTTGGAATGCTCCTTATGTAAATGTCAAGAATTTGAACTTAACATACAACGGACTACAGTTAACCTTGCATGTACGAATATTGCAGATATGTAGCAAATGATTGTAAATTAGTGAGTAATCAAGCGTATTATTTAAATAATAATAATAATACAAATACTAACCAATAATTACCACTCATCATGGCTACTGTCATTAAAATATCTAACTTCAATTATTTATTTTAAGTGTTAAAATCGTTCATTTACCCTCAGTTAAATAATTATATTAATTAATATTTTAAATAAGGATTTTCAATTTCCAACCCAATATTTGCGAACCTAATATTTCGTAGAAATTATGTAAACTTTGTTTTACCAACTGTCTGGATTCTTAAAGTGTAGGATAGGTTGAGATAGAATCAAAATTCCTGGTAGCTTACTTAGATTATTATAAATTTCAGGTAGTTTGGCTTACGATTTTTGAAGGAATCTGATACTTTGTTTATTTTAATATATATTAAATATATGAGTACAATATATAATAATTTTCTAATAACTAGAGTAAAATATTACAGAAAAGTTTATGTACATTTTTAAATGTTTTTAAAAAAAGAGTAAATAACAATTCGTATATAGAAATATACATTATTAGAGCAATGTTCTGATATGGTTTTGAGTATAATCTGCTATTAGATTGGATGATTTCAGTCAATTTCCCATTTTATAGTAACTTTATTTTGCTACTTTCCTTCTACAACAGTTATATATTATTTTTAACAAATAATTTTGTATAAACTGCATATATCTGAAGTTCGTATTAGAAATATTAACTAAAATACTTTGGGAACAACTTTCACTATAACTGTCTATTAATTAAAAACAGCAATTTCTTAATCAATAGATTTATTGTGTCACATAAATAGTCCATGTGTAATTTAGACCCTAACAAGTATAACACCTAAAGGATGCCACGCTGGTGAGGTGTTAGTCTTAATCTGCGAAATTATATTGTATTTTATTTTAAGTGTGTGGAACTTTTTCCTCAACCATGCCAAACCATGTAATTTAATATCACAGAAAAAATTAATACGTAACATTGTATGTAACATCTAGTAAATATATGGAGTTCAGAAATAATTAGGAAGCAAAGAAGTAAATCCACCTTTGTGGTGGTGTGTACTGGTGTTCTACCTTTTTTGTGTACCTAAATATAATTTTATTTAAAATGTTTTTATGTAAGAGTATACAAAATTTATACACAAAAAAAAATTGTTATAATTAAGTTAATTAAAAAATATTTGTTTTAAATTTGTAAATATTATTTCAAAATATTTATTTAAATTAATTCAAAATAATATTTTATTTAATAAGTAACATTTTGTTTAATATTTCATAATTGGTTACTGGTCTTCGAATCCTTAATGCAAATAAACTCCGAAATGTAATTAATTCAATTGCCTCGAGTAATTTAATAAAAGCTCTACACAATGAAATGAAAAACCAGAAGGAAATCAATTATTTTCCCACGTTGAAAAGGGCAACAAAATTGAATTCCAAATGAATTGTATTTGATAATTCGAGGATACATTTGCAAATGGAAATCAAAGCTTCTTAATTGTGAAGCGGAAATAAATTTATTTCATTCAATTAAACCCTCGCAACCCAAAGTAATTAACAGGAATATTCGAACGGAGAACACAGGCAGCATCATTCTTCTTCCTCTAAAAAGCATTTCCAAAAATTATATTAAATAATAATATACTTTTTATACTGAACGCTGTCCTCAGAGTTTTCCTCTTCTAGGTTGCATGAGAATAATTTTTGGATATTTTACGATGCACAACATATACACAAAATCCTTTAAGGCGCATCGCAGTTCGTTTACACCTACGCAATGCAAGTGCAGCCTTAATTGTTCGGTTCATTGCTAACGTCATCATAAATAAACTTGTTTTTGTAAAAATTCTATTTATAATGACCTTAACCAACCTTATATTTATTTTATCCGAAATTATAATTGAATGAAAATCCAAAAATTTTTAATAAATATATATAATAATCTATAAAATAATAAAATAATAAAATAAAAATATAATTATGAAGTATAAGTATAATTAAGTATCTTACAATTTCATAGGATTTTTATTGATTTAATGAACATAAAAATGAAAATTAGTATGAAATGAAAAGTGTAATTGCGAACTAAAAACAATATTTAAAAATGTGTATATCAAAACACTTGTTGAGAAAAGCAACTTTCAGCAAAAATGCTCTAATTTCCGAAAAAAATTTATATATATATTACACACATTTACTTCTGGGCCTCACATGCCCAGTTTTCTTATAAATGACGATATTAAATTGCGAATATATTTTTTAAAACAGACGAACTTACCTGTCGGATAAATCAATCTTTTCTTTCTCACTGTGGTCTGTCTACTTGCTCTACACAATTTTTGAAAGATACAAAGTTTTCTTAATTTAAAAATAATTAAACTAATTAATTTTTAACAGATTTTTATTTGTAATGAACACTGAAGAAAAAATTTACCTTAATCTAGTTTTAATAACTCTTCACTTTTTAAAAATAAAACTTTATATATCTCAACTCAAATTTGGTAGCCGCCCCATGGGAAACGGATTTCGCAATGCAAAACACTACCCTGCTGCAGACGCTTTTTATACAATCGCTAAAATGAAGTGCTCAATCGGCACCGCAAAAGCTTTTAAAAGTGCTGCACAAAAAGTGTGCTGCCAGACTTTACATTTCAACACATTTCAGAATAAAATAAAATTAACTTTTTCTACTGTGTGTGTGTTCTACTCGTTGTAGAGTAATATTAGTTATACTATTGTGAGGATAATGATATATATATCCACTAAAGTAAAGTGAATATTTCAAAAATCTACATACCTATTTACTCGACTTGGACATTTCTCGAGACAAATTTCCTATTTTTACCCTAATTAGACATAAATATAAGTTAAACTATTATGAGAATAATGAAAATTATATACCTACACTATAGTAAAGTGAATATTTCAAAAATCTAGACATCTAGATTTAGATATTTAATGAGATAAATGTCCTATTTTTACTCATATTTAATATTTAACGAATTTCTGAAATATTTTTTTATTCTTTAATTGCATATTTCCTAAAACAGGTATGTGTACCTGATTCACTGATTCACTGGTTAAATGTTAAATGAGGATGTGAAATAAGAAATGTGTTTGTTGCAAATATCAGTTAAATCTGGTTATTCTTGTTAAAACATTTTCAGTTCAAAAGGCTTAAATACCTTTAAAACCAAATGAAAGATCTCAAATCGAAGTCATATATTTATTGAATTATTACTATGCAGTGTATATACGTCATAATTAAATTGAGATAACAGTAACTGCATTTCAGTGAGCAATGATTTAATTTTTTTTTTTATAAAAATGGTACGTGTTAAAAGTAAAAGTAATTTGCGATGCATCATATTGATTATTTGTTTATTTGTTTATAATATACTGTTAAACTTTTTCGCTTAATGATAATATATGACCTATTTATGTTACACTAACGGCAACTTAACACTTGAAAATGTTTTAAGTCGCGTTTACATTATCGTGAAGCTTAAAAACGTTTTAAAATTTTTTTTAATACAATTTTTAAATCTGTTTTTCTAGACTTCTAAAATTTAAGTTTTATATTATAATAATATATAATTATATACATTATATATATATTATATTATATATATGGGAAATTTTAAAAGTTGATTATTATAACTATAAAGGATGGAATTCAGTAGTTTTATTAGCTTTAGTGCATTTCTTATATGTAAATTATTATTTTTACTCCATTTTAAATTAATAACAGACACATTTTTTTCTCTATATTCAAATTTAAAAAATTACACTACTTTCAAAATATTTCCCGGTTTTATTTAAGTCAACTGTCATTGACATTTATTTAAAACAAAGGTCACTTTTTCGTTAATTAACTTTACCTTTTGCTTAAAATTTATCTTACGTATAGTTGTATTTGAAATGTCACTTAATTTCAGTCTTCGTTTCGACGAAATTAAGGTCGTTTTCCTTAATTTTGTTCTAACCTTAAAACTGAATTTTGTACCGAAAAAACAACTTAATTTTGCTGAAACGAAGATGAAATCAAGGTTTTTGCGAAATTAAAGTGTGTCTGAACATAGGATTATGTTGTTTCTTACAGCGTTTTCTTTAAAAATTTCTAAATAAGTTGAGTTTCACTTTTTAATATGTACTTTTTACTTAAATTTCTTTATGTTTTTAAAGAAATATAACAAAAAGAGTTGCATTTTTGTTTCAAAATGTAACTTATTAATTTTTTAAAAGTAAAATGTTTTTTGAAAAGTTCAGTTTTAATTTAATCTTTTCAAACATAACATTTTACTTTTTTATTGTCTCAGTATAGTAGTACATATAGTCGCAACCAGTAGTACGTAAGTACACAAGACCCCATATTTTTATTTATTGCTAATTTTGTATTCAGACTTGAATAGCGGCAGCCTTATGCTTAAAAACGGGGAGGAGAATATGATCACACTTCTTCAATTTCGCTGTTTCTTTATCTTAATATATATAAAAATGCAAGTCATCAGGAATTGTTTAAAATATTTTCAAGCGTCAAGCGGTCGCCAATGTAAACAGTCCCACTATACCGTACATATGATACGTTATATAGGGTCGTATTGCTAATGGCATTTTTCATCAATTGCGTTCTACTTTTGTTCTGCAGATATACTCCACATTTAAACCAAATGTAAACAAGATGAACTGTTACTTCTCCACGTTGTTATTGTTTGCAATTCTGAAACGTTGCACTTTTTGTAAAAATTTAAAATGAGAATATTAAAATTTCACAATTTTATAGAATTTCGCTACTGTTTCATTTCTATTTAATTCTGTTTCAGAAAACTTGATGCATTCATCTCATAACGAACAAAATGCTCTAGATAGTTTTTAATAACTTCAGAAGCAGTAGATGTCTGCATACCACAGAAATCACTGTAAGTTATTAACATTCCATTGCTAGTAAAAAAAACATAGAACTAACAAAAACATCGAACTGGCTGACAAAGAATAGGTTTTGTTTTCAATCAATAGTGATATTCTGTCTAGAACTATCAATGCAATATATTTAGACTTCTGTCATAAATTCTACATCGTTCCATATATTAAAATGTTTTGGTCTCAAACAAATTATTTTATTCAATCAAGAATAATTGCCAATTAAGTTTCCTTCATCAATAATATCAATATCTGAATTTGTGTTTTACTTACTTCGTAATGTCATTTAAACACCTTTCTCTCATCCAAAATTCTTTCATTTAAATTTTATGAAGCAGTTAATACACTGCTGGCATTTTCTTCGGATTTCGATATTGTGAATAATTATCCCACAAAACATTTACAATCGGTCTTAATTGTCTGTTTAATTAATCTTTAAAAAAATTTTAACTGAAAACGCGAATTTGATAATTCAAACTCCATCATTATCTTAGGTAAATTTACATTTAAACTGACTCTGAAAATCCGGCCCTCGATTATAAAATGAAGCATGAATAAATGACCTATCCTCTCTAAGGTATTGAAATAATGTAAAGTAACTCAAAATATATTTTATTATAATAGCGTTATTAAAGTTGATTCATGCAAAACAAACTATAATTCTAAAAACAGAAATTCTTTTTAAAGTTTATAACAAGTTCAGCATATTGCTTCATTATTATATACAACATTAAAAGTTCTCTGATCCAATGGATCAATGGATCAGAGATAACTTTCAGAGATAAGAGATCAAAGATAACTCTGATCCATTGATAAGATTACTTTAATCTAGTCTGTAATAAAAATTAATTAACCAGATAAATATAATTACAGAAAGTATTTTTATTACTCCTTAATAAGAAGTTTCATCCAAAAAATTAAATACCATATATATCTCAAAAGCACATATCAGGCGTACTTTTTAAATGTAGAGGCGATCTTTTTAAATTAAACGACAGAGAATTTAATATATCAGAACTTGATTGTTCTTTGTGTAATTGTTATGAAATAGAAAACATATGTCATATTATTGGTGTATGTCCGATTTTTAGGCCATAGACGTCTTTTTTTTTTGATGAACCACTTCTCTCCGAAAAAGAAGTTAAAGTCTCATTAAATATGTTAGTAGCAACACTAATAAACTGTACAAATTTTTGAAAAATGTTTTATGTCATAATCTTACGCACAACAATGTTATTGTAAATTTCGAACCTTTTGAATAAGTCCAACCTTTTGAAAAAAGGTTCGACTTATGGAGACTTCGAGTTAGAGAATTTTTAATTTTTTTTTTATTTTTGAAAGAAACTAGAATTATATTTTAAGATACTTATTTATTTGCAATCAAATAAAGCACAGAAATTATAGTGCAGTAAAATATTCAGAAATTAGTGTTTGAGATTTTAATTTCCACTTTAGAGTCCACTTTATTCATACTCTTATAGTGATCATCAGTTGTAGTATCATTCGTTTGCAAATATAAATTCAGAATTTTGATTGAGTCTTCTACTTCATTTTTAGAATGCTGATGAAGAATTACATCTACCAAACCCTCATCATCCTTTCCGTTGCACTTAGAATTGGATCTAGTAATTTAGAGCTAGGTATAGTGCTCAATAATATCGTTATTTGTAAGAAAGCTTATTGTACAAATTTCATTATCAAGCTCAATATAATCATTCAAATAGCATTGCAATTATTTTATTTACTTTAAACCACGCTGCCAGTGACTGGTATTTGCATAAAGAAGCAACATAAGAAAGAAAAAATTAAACATTTAGTTTGGAAAAAGGGACTTCCCCTAACACCATAATGGATTGTGTTTAAGTTATAGAGAAATTCGAGTAACAGAAGTTCGAGTTATGGAAGCAGATTTGCATGTAATTTGCTCTCTAAAACCCTGTTGTATCCTTTTTAATTCGAGTAATAGAAAATTTGAGTTATAAAAGTTCGAGTTATGGAAGTTAGACTGTATTCCATAAAGGATAATTATCACATATAAAGTGAATAAATATATTAATTCAGCAGTTATTAATTAAAGCGGTTGTGCTTCTTTATATCTTTGCAATGCATAAGAAAAATATGCATTTTTACCATAAAATTTAAATAAAATTAACTTCTAGTATTAGATACTAACAACAAAAATTTGGTTGCAAAATTAAGTCGCCACTGGAACAGTGCAAAGAAGAAGGACGGAAATATTTGTGGCTCAGCAATCAAAAGATACCAAATTTTTGCGATGTAAAGGAACCTAGAGGTGAAACTATAACTTTATATATTTTTTCTTTCATATAACAAGTTAAGTAAATAGAAAAAAGTTAACTAGACATTATTTTGACCTCAAAGAACGCTAACTGTCACGCTGGTTTCATCGCAATTAACAAATTTTCACATAGAAAGAATAATATTAATAAAAATTATATTTCATTATTATGATATATGCAAACGGTAGATTCTGTAAAGAGAATGAGGAGTCGGCCACACATGTGCTGTTAGAATGTCCTGCGCTAATGCACAAATGGAATAGACTCCTTGAAATGTACACCCTTACAGAAGAGGTAATAAAACTCTGTAAAGTAGGTTTTACACTACTT